GCGCGGCAAACACCCGGCGTCCCCGGCCTGCTGGAGTGGGCGGGCGCCCGGCCGGTGCACAGCGCTTGGGGTCGGGGACCCGAGTCGGGCGGCGCCGGGAGCTGGAGCCCTGCTCGCTGTCACATGGAGACTCTTCAGCAGTTGGACCGCTGCGCCTCCGCCTCCCTCCGGCCCCTCGCCCGGCGCAAGCGCACAGCGCCCTCGCCGGCCTTGCCCCCCCATCCACTGCCGCGAGGCACGACGGGAAGTGTAGTTCTCTGCGGGGGAGTCCACCTGAGCTCCTCCCCGACCCCGGGCCCCGCGCGTTGGGGGAACTACTTATCCCAGCCTGCACCGCGCGGCTGCTGGCCGGGTGTTTTCTAAGCACGAGGAAAACAGGGGCGAGTGTTTGGGTGGCGAGCTTTGCCCTGTCCCTCTCACGGGAAGTTGGGTGGTGTCCAGTTCTCGGGGTTCGGCAGAGTTGGCATTTCAGGGGAGGTCATTCAAGTCATGAGGCGAAGCCCCACACACCGGGAGGCCGTGACGGAGCGGGGGAAAAGCAAGTTTCGGGATGTTTTCGCTTGTGTGGAAACGTTCACGGTGTGGCCGCGTTTTCGTGGGAAACGCGAGCCAGGAACGCGGGCGAGCTGCTCCCCGGGTCCTGCACGTTCGGCCGCCAACACCGTGGCTGCTTCCCGGCCACGATCCCAGGGCGCCCCTCCGGGCCCCGCGACGCGGAGTGGACCCCCCGGGGTCACGGGGCTGGAGGCTGCTCCCGCGCGCTGCCCGTTTCTGCCGGGAACACGTTTGTTCTTGGGCGCAGGGCGGCCGCTTCCCGAGGCGGAGCTACCGACGCGGCGACGACTGGGCTTCTCGCCTCCACCCCCCATCTTCTCGGTCTCTCCTCGAGTGACCCTGGAGAGGGGCGGGGTTTAAGGCCCGGGAAAGGGGAAGTGGGACCCTCCCAACGGTCGGCCGAGTGCGTCTCGGAAGCCTCCCGGCAGTCGCCCTAGGGAGCGAGGGGAGAAAGAAGCCGCCTTTCCTGGGGGGTCTGCACGCCCGTGTGCCTGTGGGCGCGCGCGTGTGTGTGTGGGGACACGAACTCGTGTGCGCGCGTCTGCCCGGGTGCGCGCGTGCACGTGGGCACGGGCTGGTGCTGGGCAGGGCGGGCTGCCGTGACAGCTGAGCCTCGCTGGTTACAGCCATGACTGATGGGCAGAGTGGCCTTGTTTAAAGTCTGCTTAAACGAAAGTACAAAGCAGTCGGGTTTTTTTTTTTTTAAAGTTCTTTACAATTGCAGTTGTAAATGGGTGATTTTTTTTTTTCCCCATGCAAAACGTCATCTTTCCTGAAATTTAAAGTCATCCATTTATTCCATCTGTGCACTTCCACTCTAAGATATGGGAAAGGGGGGAAAAAGTTAAAATACTACACAAGTTAAGTGGGCAAAAGAAAGATGCTGAATGGTGAGTAATTTGTGTTGTTTTCTTAACCTACTTTTTTAGTAAGATGTCTGCTGGCCATATTTGGTTATTGCTACTGAAAGTGTGGATTGTTAATGAACTTAAGTTTAAAATCTGATTTTAGTTTTTAGGACAACTTTTAGGTATGTTTGGAACATGTATTTTTTACATGAGTATGTATTTTTTCAAGTTGAGTTTTCTGAAATGTATAGTTAGCATCTGAACACGTGGCTATAAATAGAACTTCAGGCTTCATTGCAGAAACTTTTCAAGGATATTGAATGGCTCGTCAGTACGTTTTATATAATTACATGTCGAAATAACTTGCTGGCTTAAATAAAATAATACTGAAGTAAATTTTAACTTTCTATTTTCTTATGTGTCTACCAAAACATATAAAACTACACTTGAGTTTACATTGTATTTGTACTAGATAATGCTGATTTAAAGTACTAAAACACAGAATATCACCGTGGATATATTTTCTTAAAAGGTGAAAATGAGCAGAAGGGACGAGATGGTGGTCATTTTTCAGCAGGAAGGCCAGAGGATAGTATCCCATGATTTATGGTTTAACTGTGTTACTATTGTACTTGTAATTTTTATTTTTAAAGATTTATGTATACAGAACTGGGTACAGACCAGAGATATGGGGGTTGAGAGGATTCACCAGACTAGTGGGGAGCAGAACAAGCAGATCTATTGAAATACACTACTGAGGGGAGCAGCAGGCAGGTCAGGAGGTCTGCCATATGTGGGTCACCTCCTTGGCTGGGATTGCCCAGCGGCTTCGGAGAGCTTCACAGTGCTGCGTCACAGGGAGGCCATGTATTTGTAAATTTTATTTTTTTTTTTATCTGCAGCAGCACTGCAAGCTAGGCGCAGCAGCTTCTGTGTGAGTTCAAGCCCCCGCCCCGGAGGTGATCCAGGTCCACTTGGCACAGCAGACTTGTCCTGAAAGCTTGCTGCTCCCCTCAGCAGTGTACTTGGTCAACCTGCCTGTTCTGCTCCCCACTTTGTCTCTGGTGAATCCTCTCACCGCCCTTGCACCCAGTTCTGTGTGCAAAAATAAATCTTTTTTTTTTTTTTTTTTAAATCTGAAGCAAATATAATAGAATGCTGGATTTTCACATTTTTCTTTGCACTTTTGAATTAAAATAATTTGTAATATTGTTTAGTTTTTGCCCTTAAAAGTTAAAAACTTTTTTGCAAAATGTGACTGAATCAGTTCGTGTTTCAGTTAAGTTTCATATGAATTTTACTAAAGTGATGAATTGTGGCTATACCTCGTTTTCAAGATCCAGTAAAACATACATACACACACACACACACATACATACATTATATATATATTTTTAGTATATATAAATAACATATCATATATAATAAACATATTTCTATATTATAAATATTTATATAGATTATGTATATTTTTATATATGTAATATATAAATATACATATTTTTCATTCTAGGTTCTGGGAATTTACATAATTGGGAGAAGGTCCTAGCCATTTTGGGGCTCACTATGTAGTAGGGAAGACTAACTCCACAATTTATGATATATGCTGCTAGAGACTGAAGGTGTTTCCCCAGATTCATGTTAAACCTAACGCCCAATGTCCTATTTGGAGAGAGTGTTACCTAAGTTAGGCCATGAGGTGGACCCCTGATGAGTGGGATTGGTGCACCCACAGAAGATCTCAACACAGAGCTCCCCCACCCTGTTATGTGAGAACCAAGTGAGAAGAGAGTAGTCTGTGAACAAGGAAGCAGACTAATCAGGCAGAAGTCTGCCAGCACCTTGATGTTGGACTTCCTGGTCTCTGTAATTAAGAAAAATACATTTTTATTATTTGTATGTAGGCTACTTGATCTGTAGGTTTTGTTGTAATGGCCTAAACAAAGACACTGTATCAGTAAAAATTAGAGGAAAAATACGGATTTAGCACACAGGAGGAAATGATGCATCTCTGACTGGTAGAAAGATTCCTGGAGTCGGTGACATGTAAATTTTCAGTGCCTAATTTATCTTTTCAGTGATTCTGTTATTCACATAAACAAATTTTCATAACAATTGCCTTGTTTACTTTTACAAATCTTCATATTCAGAGCAGGTAAAAATTACTTGCTCTAGGTACACTCACAGCCAAGGTTGGAGTCAAGTTTGGGGAATTTTAAGCTTGTATAATTAGAGAGGTCTTCTCTTTGAAAAAGTATAGAACGTTATGAATGCAAAATAAGGACAGGCCTTTTGAAGGGTCTGTCCAAGTGACTCTGAAACTTAAATTCAGTAGATAGATACTGAGTCTACTTCAAAGTACCTCAGTATGGAAATAGATTTATGAAATGTGTTATAAGGGGTTGTTGATATCATCAAACTATTACTTGCTTTCTGAGAGGGTTCAAATATGATTCTTAGAAATAAGTATATTCCTCCCTTTCCTCTAGATCTTTGCACATGCACATGATCGAACTTTTTCCTTGGTTTTATTTTAAAATAAGCAAATATGTAATTTTATCTAATTTACAAAAATATATAAGTTGTCCTCTAATCCTCACGAATGTGTGATTAGGAAATTGAAATGAAAAGGTTGTGTAAAAATTGACATCATGGAGTCATTTTAAAATGGAATTGGAACAGTCATTTCAGAGAAAGTGCCTTGCTGTCTCGTTACTTGAACCTTTGGACTGGGTGAAACTGAAATCTGTGTGAGAAACCAACTTGTTTAAGAAGCCGTCCTGATCACAAGGACTGATGGACACGGGCTGATGACTATGGCCGAAGACAGAGTCAGCAACCAATTGTGTGTAGCTAAGAGCAGTGGAAGTTGTCAGCTCCAGTGACTTCACTTACCCAGCTTTCTCATATCTCTCCACAAAACTCCTACGGATTGTTCCTCCTGGGGACACTGTTTGGGTTCCTCCCAGAATCTTCAGTCTCTGAATTATAATACGTTGTTCCCAGTAAATGTACTTTGCCTTTTTATTGCAGATTTCTGGGTTCTTAGTTCAAATGAAAAATGAAAACCTGTTATTCCTAGCTTCCCAGATCCTGTCCCTATAAGCAGCCGATGTTAACAGTTTCTTGTGTTCCTTCCAGAAAAAACTGTATGTGTGTCAGTAGATACATCTGTGTAGATGAATGATTATATTTTATTATTATGATGACAAAGGATCATATCATTTAGCACCATGCTTTTTTTTTTTTTTTTACCTTGTTTAAAGCATACAAAAAGTACATAAAATGTGAATGTCTGACTTAAGCAGCTATGGCAAAATAAACATCTGAATCCCGAGAGGATCCAGGATCTCCACTAGGGGCAGCTTCCTGGGTGTGCAGCCAGGGCAGCCTCAGGCCAGGCTCACAGGCCCACCACTGTAACACCCCACTCCCTGAACCCTCCTTCTGACTTCATGTTCTGCAATTGCCAACCACCATCATGGAATTCTTAAGATTTTATCTTTAAATGTGTGCTTTACCTGTATCCATAGGGCAGTGCAGAGGGACAGTGCGGAGGGTCATTCTTTCTGTTATTATTGTCTGGTTTTGAGTCAGACAGTGTCTTATTTACAAAGCTTGATGATAATGATACAAAAGTATAAATCCTCCATCTTTTATTTGTTTCTTCAGGTCTTGGTTATTCTTGGTCCTTTGCATTTCCTTATACATTTTAGAATCAGCTTCAGTTTCAGAAAAAGAAAAAAAAGCAAACAACAGATATTTTAGGATTTGGGTTAAAATTGCATTGAATCCATGAACATACTGTTTTGTAACTCATTTAGATCTTTCATACTCTGTTATAGAATGTTATCATTTTGCAGAACTTTTATATATATTTTATTAGATGTATATGTTCTTGATATTTCTGCTGCTATTGTAAGTGGTATCTTTCTAATATTTCATTATCGTCTCTTTGCTGCCAATATGTAGAATTTAAGCTGTTATTTCTAAAATAATGTTTAAGATTAAGACCCACCATTTTTCCTATCCATAAAAGTTTCTATTTATATTAATGTAGCTGTATGTTTGTTTGAATGGTCAGTGAACTCAAATTCCCTTTGCAAATACTGGGTTTTGTTCCTTCATTTCCAGTTCATATACTTTTCTTTTCTTTCATTCTTTCTCTACTACATGACTAGAACTCCAGAATAATATTGTAAACAGGTTATGTCAGCAGATATCCTTGTCTTGTTCACAGTCCCAGAAGACTTTGTTTATCAGTATGTACTGCATTTGATAGACTCATTTGTTTCATTTAAATTTTCACACTACTTACTTGCTCATATTTTCTTGTTTCTAAGATATGCAAGGTGTATACTGCTGTTTTCACTCTTGATATAAATAATTTTGTGCTGTCTGTTTGATCAATCACACCAGGGCTTTTTTTTTTTTTAATATAATAGTTTATTTTTACATCATTCTGT